GCGAAGATTAAATCTATTAGAGTGATGCTAGCAATTGCCGCATTTCATGATTATGAGATTTGGCAAATGGATGTCAAGACCGCTTTCCTTAACGGAAAGTTGGCTGAGGATGTTTACATGGCTCAGCCAGAGGGGTTTGTGGATCCGAAGCATCCGAATAGAGTGTGTAAGCTTGAGAAGTCCATTTATGGACTTAAGCAAGCGTCTCGCAGATGGAATCTTTGCTTCGATGAGAAAGTCAAAGAGTTTGGATTTGTACGAAGCGAAGACGAATCTTGTGTATATGTCAAAGCCAGTGGGAGTATAGTAAGCTTCCTCGTTCTATATGTCGATGACATATTACTCATAGGAAACGACATCCCGACTCTGCAGGAGGTTAAGTCCTGGCTCGGGAAGTGCTTCGCTATGAAGGACCTCGGAGAGGCTTCTTACATTTTGGGAATAAGGAGTAAGTAAGAGACTAATTGGACTTAGTCAGAATACTTACTTGGAGAAGGTACTAAAACGTTTTAGTATGGAAAACTCAAAGAAGGGAGAACTACCGATACAAGGAAATGCCAAGTTGAGTAAGACTCAAAGTCCGAGTACCGAAGCTGAGATAGCAGAAATGAGCCGAGTACCATACGCTTCCGCAGTTGGCTCAATCATGTACGCTATGACTTGTACTCGCCCTGATGTAGCCTTCGCTTTGAGCATGGTTAGCAGATATCAAGGGAACCCTGGCAAAGCACATTGGATTGCGGTGAAGAACATCCTTAAGTACCTTCGGAGGACGAAAGAATGGTTCTTAGTCCTTGGAGGGAGTGATGACTTGAAGGTGCGAGGGTATAGTGACGCCAGCTTTCAGACCGACAGGGACAACTACCGTTCGCAGTCGGGCTGGGTCTTTACCCTAAATGGAGGAGCAGTGACATGGAAAAGTTCCAAGCAGAAACCGTAGCTGATTCAACGTGCGAATCAGAGTACATCGCAGCGAGCGAAGCGTCGAAGGAGGCAATATGGCTGAAGAACTTCATCGGTGATCTTGGAGTTGTGCCGGCCATAAAGGAGCCCATGGAGATTTTCTGTGATAACGAAGGTGCGGTTGCCTTGACCAAGGAACCGAGGGATCATGGTAGATCTCGACATATCGACAGAAAATATCACTTCATTAGACATCGTGTAGAAGAAGGACAACTCGTAGTGAAGAGGATATCATCAGAAGATAACCCAGCAGATCCGCTTACGAAGGGACTGAGTAGGGTTAAGCACTTGCAGCATGCTAGGAGTATTGGGCTGAAGGATGATATTAGTATAGATTAGATAGTATTAGAAACGTATAATAGATAAATGTAATTAACATTTGATGATTAAATAAAGGAGTTTTATTTATGAGTAAAGTTACTGTCACATGTTAGTTGTTTAACTATTGTTTCACTTTGCATGTTTTGACTTCCAGAATAATTGAGTTTATTAGGAATAATCGAATTATTCAAATGGTCCACAATCGTTCATATGTTGGGAGTAGATATGAATGAAGATTGTCATGAATTGGTGTGTAGAATGTCTAAATGGTGTTAGACATAGCAAGGGTTGCTGCAACGTTCATGAGTGCTTATGAACTGGTTTTGAGCATTGGAATAAACCCGCGCTTGCTGGAATCACTTATGGAATACGATATAAAAGGTGATCGCAAGACGATAATATCATATGGTCTTAAAACCTAGATATATGGTTTATTATTTGTTAATTGATTGTGCATTGATAATGCGAAAACGCATCAGTAACTTGATGTTATAAAACGCATTGTTGTGTATAGTTGGTTAATGAATAAGTAAATGCATATAAGTCGAAGTTTATCTGTAAATTTTATCCTAAGAGGATAGAAGAGATATCTTGGCCACTCGATGATTTGATTTGACTTATGTGCCGGGCCCGGTCAGAACTGAATTGATGTGTTCGATTAAGTTCTATGTCAAATAAATCGAGATCGAGAAATCTAAATGCTAGACTAACCATTCCATAGGATTGTCAGCATGATATCTAACAGAGGACTGTACGATCCCTTATCTAAAGGACAAGATTGATTAGATCAGAGTTGACAGCGTCTTTGAGAGCTACGATTGCAAACCGTATTGTACTTGTATAGTTACTAGACTTATCCAAGTGGGAGACTGTTGGAATAGTGTCTAAGGCTATAACTATATTCGGTGTGCATGGTCCTTTTGGGTTGCCTTCACCATAGCAACTTGAAGGATGATTTGTTAAGAGAGAGTAAATATTATAAGGAATAATATTTAGCTATTTGATTAATATAAGTCATAAATTAATTGGTATTAATTTGGTGACTTAAAGAGATTAATTAAATAAGAGGGTATAAACTGTCAATTGTTTGATAGTTAGACTTTAGACTGTAAATCCATTAGGATTGACCTTGGACGGATTCTAAGAGCTTTAGGATAGCTCAAAATCGTCCATAGGGTTATCTATGGAATGGATTTGGATAGCCTTAAGAGAAGATTATCCAATTAGGGTTTAGGGTGAAACCCTTAAGGAGTCTACAAGTATAAATAGACCCTATGGGTGAGGGAATTACACACAACCTAAGCAAGGAACCTCTGGCCGAATTCCTCCCCTCTCCTCTCTCCTAAATCATCTTGCTTGCTATTGGTGTTTGTAAGCCATTAGAGGAGTGACAATTGTGACTCTAGAAGCTCCAAGACAAACAAGATCAACAAGGAATTCAAAGGTATGATTCTAGATCTGTTTCAATTTGTTATTTGACCTAATTAGCCATTAGAAGTCTTGGTTTCAAAAGCATGTTTATTAGAAAGCCTAGATCCAAGCATTAGGGTTTTGCATGCGCACATAGGAAAGTTCTTATGGCTAAAACCCATCAGTTCTATGTTCTGTCATGATATATATATATATAGATATATATATATATATATATATATATATATATATATATATATATATATATATATATGCTTTTACGTTGGGGGCCGGAAGGCGATATGTTATGGGCCGGAAGGCATTATGTTATGGGCCGGAAGGCAATGTGTTATGGGCCGAAAGGCATTACGCAATGGGCCGGAAGGCGATATGTTTGGACCGGAAGGTTGTGGCCTGGAAGGGCGTATATGTGGTTGGTATTTTGGGGGTATCTCACTAAGCTTTCGGGCTTACAGTTGTGGTTTTATGTTTCAGGTTCTCAGGAGTCTGTGGCAAGGCAAAGGCGTGATCGTACCGTTCCTCGCGTTGGTGTTTTATGAAATGGACCTGGGAAAATACTCTATTAAATAATGTATTGAAAACCTTTTTGTAACCACGATATTAAAATGAGTTGTTTTTGAAAAGTTTTAATTGTTTCGAAATTTTGGTCGTTATATGGCAACCACCACCTCACGGTGGTGGTGACAGGTTTTTTGCTTGAACAATCCGGCCAAACATTACATTGTACAACATTTATCTAAAAGAAACACACAATATGACACATGCACACCCACATAGCCATCCTTGTGGTGGTAGGCAGTGGTTAGAGTTGATAGCCACCACCTCATGGTGGTGGTGGTGGCTCTTCTCATAAGTTCCGGCCAAGCAACCACACATACAATATGCACTCTAGTGGTAGAAGCACACACACATGTCTTTTTCTCGGAAAAATGGACACAACCACCTACCTGGTGGTGTACGGTGACGGCAACGACTTGGAACGGCGGGAACATCAACGCTAGCGGTGGCAGATGATAGTGGTGGTGGCGATGCAACAGAAGAAGAAGAAGAAGAAGAAGAAGAAGAAGAAGAAGAAGAAGAAGAAGAAGAAGAAGAAGAAGAAGAAGAAGAAGAAGAAGAAGAAGAAGAAGAAGCGAAGAGGGTGGGCAGCTCCCACCGAAAATAGAAACACGACACCCCCAGACTGCTCTTCCGATAATGACTCAGCAATCAAGTAGGCTTTAAATCCAATTTTTCATGATAAAACTAAGCATTTTGAAATAGATGTTCATTTTATTAGGAAAAAAACTGCAAATGGTATTATTAATCTTGTTAAAGATAAATTTGTAAATCAAACCGTAGATATTTTTACCAAGTGTCTTGGTTCTTTTCAACATGAACATCTTTGTGAAAAAATGTGTTTGGTTGATCCTTTTTCTATAAAATAAGTGGTCAAATGATTAGTTTGACCGACCGTGTTGAAATAATGAAAGGTTTTTATCAAACTAACCCTTTAACCATTTTTTTTTTGTATTTCCCTTTATTGTCTATGTCTGGTGTGATTTGATAGTAGTTGAAGGGTGCAGAGTGTAATTTGTCCGGGTCTTCACATAGGTTATCGGGTCTATAGCAACCCAGCATACATAACGTTTTGTTGTTTTTTGGTTCATAATTGATAGATATTTCCTTGTGAGTTCTCTCTCAGTCGTTGCTCTCCGTTTAGGGTTTCAGATTCTTTCTTCATAATCCTTCAATATTTGAGTGTATTATTTTGTTCTTTAGGGTTTGTTGTTTTTTGGTTCATAAGTGATAGATATTTCCTTGTAAGTTCTCTCTAAGTCGTTGCTCTCTGTTTAGGGTTTCAGATTCTTTGTTCATAATCCTTCAATATTTGAGTGTATTATTTTGTATGATAGTAGAATAGGAAACTTGTAGTGAGGTTTGGTTGTAATAGTACATGTAAAACGTTCTAGTTTAACTTGAAATCAAGCTGATCATGTTGTGAAATCGTGATTATAATTTTGTTACAATCCTTTTCAACAAAAACAACCATAGGTACATGATCAATAAACAAACCACTAAGAAATATAGACTAAAGTGCCTCTTGAATATATTTCGCTGCATAGACTTTAATCGACATCAACAAATTTAAAGAAGTAAATGTTACCACCAATAATAATTCACCAAAACATTTTCAGGCCAGAACAAGGAACCAGCAAAAAGATTCAATAGACCTGTGGGAATGGATTTGTCAGACCCAAGTACGCCATAAAATCTCAATAGAGGAGTTTAAATCATGTCGTATCCTAAATGTCTTTTTTGGAATCATCTTCCTCATCCCAAAAATCTAACCAATCTGTTGTGACTTTTGTTGTTTGCATCGGATCATAATCTTTAGGAATGAGTACAGCTCTAAACCTATTCCCATTTCCATACAAATCCTCAGTGCCAAAAGAAAATGAGATGATATTGTATGTCGAATTCAAGCATCTTGTGTGCCTCAATGAACTAAACGAAACATATCCTACACATGTCTCTTGATATTCAGGATCAGGTGTTTCATCAGACTCCTGCCAAATCTGAGATTGAAAATCTTCATCTAAGCCTTGCTTTATACTTATATTAATGCCCATATGAAGGTCCTCAGATCTGACAAACATCAGAATCCCAGAAAAGTGATTGTACCAGTCATGTGGAAGCGTCATATTACAAGCCTTCACCCAGTTGATCCAAACTACAGATGGCCCACTCCAAATGTCAATGCCTGAAAGGTTGATACTGATAAAGTAATGTTTGGCGTTTCCCTACCACAAAACACATTCAATCATGATTCACCTGTATTCTTCTTATGTTTAGGTTTATATATATACAAAAAAGAATGAAATTTAAAAGCCAAACCAGGAGCATGGAGTTTAGTAACATGTCACAAACAAGTGGACCAAGTTTGTGGTTCCCAGTAAGAGTGACTTTCCACAACCATTTACAGTTTGAAATATCTCCAAAGCTTTCAAGTGAGAAACAACCATCCGCTAAAACAACAGCTATACTTAATGGCAGCTCCGACAATTCTACAAGGTCTTTGCAGTATCTTATGTCAAGACATTTGAGCTGAGGAAGTAGCAAGAGACTAAAATCCAACCGAACAAATCCATTTTCTTGTAGATTGAGTTCTAGCAAATTGGGTAATTCCCAACCAGCAGCCGAATTAATGTCTCCATCTGTCAGACTGCAGTTGCTGAGAACAGTTTTCTTAAGCATCCACTAAAAAACCATACACCTGTGTGGTTCATGTTGTGAGGTAAAAAATTATTAAATGATCTGCAAGCTGAGAATACAAGAGTCTTGAGTTTCTTCGACCGGGTAATGGGTGGAACCATCTTAAGATTTTCACAATTTTGTATATGTACGCAAACAAGCTTTTCCAAACGTCCAAATGATGGATGAATCTCTTCTAATAAAGAAGATCCTTCAACTATGAATCTTTCAAGGTTTGGAATCCCATCAAAATCAGGTGTCTTGATCAGGCTTCTCAATCCATCGAGTTTGATCATCCTCAAATTTGGTAGATATTGTATACACAAGTACACATAAGACAAAAGTTTGTCAACACTTCATACAAAATAAGTATATTTTATAATGTTTGTAAACATGATTGCTTTTAAAAAGATTCTTTAAATAAAACCACACGTGTTTTAAAAAAACTGTCATAGAAAATCGGTATCTTACAAAATGTGAATTATAAAACAAGTCATGCTTATAAAGAAATTATCGATAGGAAACAACTTAAATTATTAATTTAGTCATACACTTCGCTTTTATCCATTAGAAAATATATAAGGATTACCTTATAACCCTCCCAAAGTTGTTTTGCATTGATGTCTTCCAATGTTAGACAACAAAGCTCCCTTGGTGGAAAACTTTCTGGCATTATAACCAATTCAGTTTTTTCCAGAAAAAATCCCAAATCAATACACCGAAGTTTCTTCATATTTGCAGCGACCTGGAGAACATGTTGTGGTTCCTCCCTCCTAGAACACAAAACATACATAACTTCAATCTTGTCAAGGTTCTGGGATAAAGGAACAAAATGGTTTCAGAGTTGAGTTACAAGTGTTTCTCTATAAATTAGTATTTATATAATGAAAACCTAGTTTAGTTGTTACCGTCATTGCATCCATAGCACATATTTTTAGAACATCTTCCTTCTTCCAAATTCTACTATGTTTTTCAGGGTTGTTAGGGTGTTCCCCTCTAACAATGTAGTGTGCCATTTCTTGTACCAAATCATGCATATCAAACTTTCCATATTCTGTAATAGTTATGAGAGCCTTTTGTACCAACACCTTTATGCCTATAACAGGGTGAAAACCACAAGCATCAAGCATCGCCATTATCCTTTCATTTTTACAACGTCTTCTAAAGAAACATGCAATATCAAGGAACAATTGTTTCTCCACAGTCTTAAGTCCATCAAAGCTGATTTTTTAGCTTTTCAAGTATATTAGCATCTGGGATTTCTTTCAATCTAGCCAAGGCACTCCTCCACTCATTCATATCTTTGTCACATAGAAAACGACCGAGAACTCTAAGTGCTAACGGGAGCCCACCAGCATACGAAACCACATCTTTTGAAAGCTGTTCATAATCTTCAATACGCCTGTAACCCCGGGGTGCATGCTTGCAAAAGAGTTTCATAGACTCTTCATTGTTTAACAAAACTAATATTGTGTATCACATCTACTTTGTGTCCGGTTAATATATGTTCATCTCTAGTTGTGATTAGTATTCGGCTTCCTTCACCAAACCAATCACGTGATCCAACTAACTCTTCTAGGTGCTCCAGGTTGTCGACATCATCAAGCACAATCAAGACCTTTTTGTACTTTAATCTATCTTTTATCATGCGTCTTCCTTCTTCGACTCTCCCTACATGCAATTGCTTTTGTTTCAAAATACCACAAAGAATTTCTGCTTGCAATTTTTCAACACCATTCTTATTACTTGATTCCTCCCGGATATTTTTTAGAAAGCAACAACCATCAAACTTACTAGAAATCTCATCATAAATACAAGAGGCAAGAGTAGTCTTACCACCACCCCAACTCCCATATTCCAATCATTCTCTTACCACCAAACCCAATTTGTAACTTTGATATCAAATCTTGCATACGAGCTTCTACTCCAACCAGGTTGTCATCCACACTTGAAGTTATTGGACGCAAACCTATGAGAAATTATGTCAACAATTTTTTTTGATGAACTTTGACTCATGCCTGCAAATTGGATATACAAGGATCATTAAAACATGCTTGCAATGACAGATAGCCTTGTCATAAACTACTTCGTGAGTTCTTAGCAAATGTTAATAGTGATTATAATATTTGGCGCTTATCAAGTGATCTAGTTAAGGCCTTTGTGTATCAATTAAGGTCATCAACATCATCCGGATTAACCAAAGCATTTGTATGAACAGCTTACTCATTATCATCACTCTATACT